AGAATTTGATCACACATGACCAGACTCTTAGATAGGTATATAGTAGAATATTTAAATTTGTATCTTTTGTCCAACTTGGCCTGCTTTTTAAAAAGATTTATTTTTATTTATTACTGGCTGGGCTGAGTCGTTCTCACTGCATGCAGGCTTTCTCTAGTTGCAGAGAGCTGGGGCTGCTTCCTTGTGGAGCACATGTTCTAGGGCTCGTGGCCTTCAGTAGTTGCTGCACATGGGCTCAGTAGTCGTGGCTCTTGGATTTCTAGAGCACGGGTGGATTCTTGACCACTGGACCGACAAGTTGGTCTGTTTATATGACACAGTTGTGAAAAGGGATGAAGGCCTTCTTGTTTATAGAGGATATGCAGGAGATTCGGGTTGAATTCCTGGGTCAGGAAGATACCCTGGAGAAGGGAATGGCTACCCACTCCAGTATTCTTGCCTGGAAAATCCCATGGACAGAGGAGCCTGGCAGATTACTGTCTATGGGGTCACAAAGAGTCAGACACGACTGAGCGATTAACACATTCACGCTTAGTTTTAAGCCTGTGTTAATAATCACATTCCTATGAAAAAGGAGTTTTAACAAAACCCAATCACTCTTCTGTATTGTTTTGTAACATGGCCTAGCAATGTGTATTTTATATTTTCAAAAGCATTGCTAGTATTCCTGACAGTTTATCAAAAGTTCAGTTACCTAAATAGTTTTCTAAAATTTGAGGGAAAAGGTAGCAAAAGTATAAAAAGTCTTGGGTTTTTTTTTTTTAAAAGAAGGTTTTAATAAATACCTTTAGTCATAATCAAATCAGTTCATTCAGCCCAGTGTAATTCAGTCCATTGTGATTAATTCTTGCTTTGTTGATTTTGGATTAAGCACCCTGCTTCTGATATGGCTTGGAAAATCTTAAAGAAATCCTATAGTAGAGCTTGAAAGTATCAGGTACAGTTATTTGTTAAAGTTCTTTTGATGTTTCTTCTGAAAAGCTCAATTTCAGACCTATATTTTGTGAAAGTGAAAGTCACTCAATTGTGTCCAACTCTTTGCAACGCCACAGACTATAGTCCATGGAATTCTCCAGGCCAGGATACTGAAGTGGGTAGCCTTTTCCTTCCCTAGGGGATCTTCCCAACTCAGTGATCAAATCCAGGTCTCCCACATTGCAGGCAGATTCTTTCCAAGCTGAGTCACAAGGGAAGCTCAATATTTTGTAGCAGGGGCCTTAGAGATAACTGTAAAGAAAAACAGCAATCAACAGTCTGGTCAATGTATAATAGTAATTAATATTACCAGTATGGAGTGGGATAGAATCCCCAGTATAGGTATGATATTGTAAATAGTGAGGATATTGACATTTCCCCTTTGATATATGCTGTAAGTATTTGCTACTGTTGCCTCCCAATGAGAAGGTACTTATACTTAGGAACAAAATCTGTTGGCAGTGAGTCCTTTATATGCATGCAAGTATGGTCCACCCAACTTAAAAAGTATAAATGTTACATCAATAACATTTTACCTCGTTAACTTAGGGATGTATAGTTTCTGGTTTTGATTTGTCCTCTTTTTTCAAATATTGCACAATACATACAACAGAACAATTGTCACAATTGTGTATGCCTAATTACAAATGTAAAAGAGAACAAACCTTACGTGTTAAATAGATAATACCAATGGCTTCATTATTCAAAATTTGGGGTCTAGGTTTAGAGAAGGTAATATCAAAAAGAAATCAGGCTATAAATATAATAATAGATTTCTAAAGACAAATACTAAAACACTTCATATAAGATAGCATTAAATTATGTACTGAATATTTAAGGATTTTTTTTCTGTGGGGGTTTTTGTTTCTTTGTTTTTAAGAACTGAGAGACTTCTGTCAGAATTATTCAAGACGTCAATGGAAAGCCACAAAAATAGTAATAGATCCTCAGAAAATATGGGAATATAGCTAAAAGTAATACCTCTCAATTCAGAAAAACCGCTGCACAAAGGGAGTAAAAATAGAAAACCTTTATGACTGAATAAGCATTAAAACAGAATGTGAAGCACATCACAGGCAATTTTGCTAAAGGGATTGCAAAGCAAGGAGAGAAATCGCTCTCTTTTATACAGCGAAATGGATACAATCATCTCAAAAATTAGTAGACATGGCAATTTGTAATCTTGTAATAATGGAAGTTAGGCCCCTCTCTTTCTGGGAAACAGATCCTGTTATCTTTGTGCTTCAGAGATGGGCCTAGGGTTGTTGAAAAAATATTCCTGAGTTGGGAGACTGGCTAGATGAATATTTAGCATTTGATTTTATGAAGATTAAGTATTGATGAGATAAGGGAATTTTTAGCTTCAGATATAAAAATATGTAAACGTAGTCATTTTGTCTTTTTTTTTACATGTAGGCAATTGCTACCCTTCCTTAGTGATCAATGCAAAGAAATAGAGGAAAACAATAGAATGGGAAAGACTAGAGATCTCTTCAAGAAAATGAGAGATACCAAGAGAACATTTCATGCAAAGATGAGCACAATAAAGGACAGAAATGGTATGGACCTAACTGAAGAAGATATTAAGAAGAGGTAGCAAGAATACACAGAAGAACTATACAAAAAAGATCTTCACAACCCAGATAAACATGAAGGTGTGATCACTCACCTAGAGCCAGACACCCTGGAATGCTAAGTCAAGTGGGCCTGAGGAAGCTTCACTATGAACAAAGTTAGTGGAGGTGATGGAATTCCAGTTGAGCTATTTCAAATCCTGAAAGAGAATGCCATGAAAGCGCTGCACTCAGTATGCCAGCAAACGTGGAAAACTCAGCAGTGGCCACAGGACTGGAAAAGGTCAGTTTTCACTCCAATCCCAAAGAAAGGCAATGCCAAAGAATGTTCAAACTACTGCACAATTGCACTCATCTCTCAGGCTAGCAAGGTAATGCTAAAAATTCTCCAAGCCAGGCTTCAACAGGATGTGAACCATGAACTTCCAGATGTTCAAGCTGGTTTAGAAAAGGCACAGGAACCAGAGATCAAATTGCCAACATCCACTGGATCATTGAAAAAGCAAGAGAGTTGCAGAAAAACACCTTTTGTTTTATTGACTATGCCAAAGCCTTTGACTGTGTGGATCATAACAAACTGTGGAAAATTCTTCAAGAGATGGGAGTGCCAGACCACCTGACCTGCCCTCTGAGAAATCTGTATGCAGGTCAAGAAGCAATAATTACCAAAAAAAAAAGAAGCAGTAGTTAGAACTGGATATGGAACAACAGACTGGTTCCAAATCGGGAAAGGAGTACATCAGTGCTGTGTATGGTCACCCTGCTTATTTAACTTATATGCAGAGTACAGCATGAGAAATGCTGGGCTGGGTGAAGCACAAGCTGGAATCAAGATTGCCTGAAGAAATATCAATAACCTCAAATATGCAGATGACACCACCCTTATGGCAGAAAGCAAAGAAGAACTAAAGAGCCTCTTGATGAAAGTGAAACAGGAGAGTGAAAAAGTTGGCTTAAAACTCAACATTCAGAAAACTAAGATCATGGTATCTGGTTCCATTACTTCATGGCAAATAGTCTGTCAGTGTTTCCAACCTTTCCCCATCTATCTCTGGGGGCTCCAAAATCACTGCTGATGGTGACTACAGCCATGAAATTAAAAGATGCTTGCTCCTTGGAAGAAAAGCTATGGCCAACCTAAACAGCATATTAAAGGCAGAGACATTACCAACAAAGGTCCATCTAGTCAAAGCTATGATTTTTCCAGTGGTCATGTATGGATGTAACAGTTGGACTATAAAGAAAGCTGAGCACCGAAGAATTGATGCTTTTGAACTGTGGTGTTGGAGAAGACTTGAGAGTCCCTTACACTGCAAGGAGATCCAACCAATCCATCCTAAAGGAAATCTGTCCTGAATATTCATTGGAAGGTCTGATGCTGAAGCTGAAACTCCAATACTTTGGCCACCTGATGCGAAGAACTACTCAATGGAAAAGACCCTGATGCTGGGAAAGATTGAGGGCAGGAGGAGAAGGGGACACAGTATGAGACGGTTGGATGGCATCACCGAACAGTGGACATGAGTTTGAGTAGGCTCTGGGAGTTGGTGATGAGGCCTGGTGTACTGAAGTCTATGGGGTTGCAAATAGTCGGACACAACTGAGCAACTGAACTGAACTGAGGCAATTGCTCTTTGTGTGTCTACATGAGTCAAGGTTTCCCCCTTGACTTTGGGTTTCTTCCTAAGCTTCTAAGATTCTAGGAAAATGCTAAAACCACCTTCAGAGTTTAGGTCTGGATTTCCTAATCTTATTCCTTTCCAATTTATTCCAATTCCAATCGCAATCATATTCCTTATTCCTTTCCGATTCTGTACCAAGGATCTTTTAAAATTAATTTTAAATTGGTTGTTCTGGTTTATAAAGCTGCTTTGTATTTTTTCATTGTAGAGAATATTCCTGTAATATGACTGTTTTTGTTGAAATGCTCTTTAATTGCATCCCACCCTCACCAACTGTTCTGCAGGATATTATAGTGAGCCTGTACATTTTCATTCTTTCACACTCGTGTTTACACCCATTTAACAGTTTATTTCATGAGGACACATGGAGCTATCACTGTAAAACCGTGTACTTCCTGTTTAAACTCGGTACGAAATTGCCTTTCTCTCTCCCTTGGTACACATTCGCTTGTAATCCATTTAAGAGAAATGCCACTGTGGCTAAATCTTAAGCCATTATGTATTTGGGTGATGTATTTGCTTCCATTTATGAACGTCTAGGTTTTTAAACTAAACATTCCACTGGGTAGGTTACAAAGTAATATACAAAACTATGTTCAAGACATTGCCTGGAAGCGCAAAAATGTAAGGGTGGAAGTAGTGCTCCTAAGCAGTTTAAAGTGTGTACCTAACAGGAGGAAAAAACTCAAAAGCAAAAAGGCATCACGGCTCCTCAAGTGAAAGAGTGGTGGCCCTTAAAAGGACCTTTTGTTGAATCGGAAGAACGCACTCAGCCGCCGAAGCCGTAGAGGGTGCGGCCCTGGCGCTTCAGCGCGTAGACCACGTCCATGGCGGTGACAGTCTTGCGCTTGGCGTGCTCGGTGTAGGTGACCGCGTCCCGGATCACGTTCTCCAGGAACACCTTCAGCACCCCGCGGGTCTCCTCGTAGATGAGCCCAGAGATGCGCTTCACACCACCGCGACGAGCCAGGCGCCGAATGGCAGGCTTAGTGATGCCCTGGATATTATCACGAAGGACTTTGCGGTGGCGCTTGGCGCCTCCCTTGCCCAGACCCTTTCCGCCTTTGCCGCGACCAGACATGTTGAAAGACCAGAGACTCCAAAAAGCCTAGCTTGCCCGCTTCGCTATGCACCTATATACGTCTGTTGGCGGACCGAAGTGAGAACTTGAAGAAGGAAGGAGGCGGGAAGTCACGCCTTAAGTGGGGGAGGGGAATTGGACCAAAAAAAAAAAAAAAAAAAGAGGCCTCTGTTCCTTTGTTCTGTCGTGACTCGTGTTACCTTGTTTTAAAACTTTAGCAGTTGCTTTTGAATGCCAGCGCAAAACACGAATGTTGTGTAAAATATACAGAAAAGGCAGGTGATAAAGTAATAATTCACAGATCCCTGCCAGTAGCTAATTTGGTATTTTGGTGAACAGATAAAAGCACATACTCTTTCAAAGAAAATGTATGCAATGCCATAAATGGCATTTTGGAACCTCCTTGCACTGATTACATTTTCATCAATTTCCCTTGTTTAAAGAGAAAATGTATTTTTAACGCCTGCTTGTTAACCTTATGAAGTCTTTAATAGTTTTAACAAACTCCCTAGTAATTAGTGTTTCTGAAAAATACTTTTTTCCACAAAAATTTACTTCTTCACTGTACTTGGGAATACTATACTGATGTTTCTAACCAAGTGTACCAGAATATATCGCTCCCAAATATCCTTAAGCATAAGAATTATAATGAGCTGATAGTTTTGAGAAAAAGCAGACATAAGAGAAGCTATAAAAACAATTTAATACCAAGGCCTTCCCTGGTCGCTCAGGTGGTAAAGAATCTTTGCAATGCAGGAGACCCGAGTTGGATCCATGGGTCAAGAAGATCCCCTGAAAAAGGGAATGGCTACCCACTCCAGTATTCTAGCCTGGAGAATACCATGGACAGGGGAACCTGGCAGGCTAGAGTCCATGGGATCACTAAGAGTCGGACAAAACTGAGCAGCTGACACATACACTAAGGGAAATTTACATTTATATGAGAAATCTCCATTTGTAAGGGTATCTCCTTCTTTGAGCCAGGAAGAGAAAGATATTAATAACTCTCAAGAAACTTACCTGAGGAAGGTGCAGGACTTAAATCTGTCACACCTGGTTTACTCTGGGTTTCCTGCTCAATTCCTATAAATGCCACTATCTCCAACATATTTTGTCTTTAGCTGAAGATGATATTTAAAGGCTCCCAGTCTACTTCTGGGAGTTTTACTCAGTTCCCCTCTGTGTATTCTATGTATACATCAGACATACATGGTATTAAACTTGTTTTCCTCTTGTAAATCTGTTTCTTATTACGGGAAGCTCTTAGTCACAGAATGAGTGAAACTAATATTTTCATTTAAACAATTAAAATAGCATAGATAAAGGTCTGGGAGTGGAGACGTTTTTAAAAACCACAAAAATAACCTTGGGGAAAGACATTTTTTGAGAACCTCAGAAATTTGTTTCATTGAGGGCTCCATAATTCTTTGTCCTTAATGCTGGCCCCTGTCCAGAGTCCCTGCCTTCTTCCAAATTGTTGCTATTTAGTCGCTCAATTGTGCCAAACATTATTGTGACTCCATGGATTATAGCCAGCAAGGCTTCTCTGTCTCTGAGATTTCCCAAACAAGAATACTGGAGTTCATTGCCATTCCTTCTGTAGGGGATCTTTCTGACCCAGGGATCAAACCTATATCTCCTACATTGGCAAGCTCATTCTTTAACTCTGAGCCACCAGGGAAGACCAAATTACTGGTCCCCCAAATCTCTCAATCTCCTCATTATTCCACCATGTAATTAATATTCATCAACCCTGAATATTCATTGGAAGGACTGCTGCTGAAGTTGAAGCTCCAACACTTTGGCCACATGATGTGAAGTGACTTATTGAAAAAGACACTGATGCTGGGAAAGACTGAGGGCAGGAGGAAAAGGGGGTGACAACAGAGGATGAGATGGTTGGATTGGATGGCATCACTGACTCAATGGACATGAGTTTGAGCAAACTCAAGGAGATAGTGAAGAACAGGGAAGCAATCCTGGTGTGCTGCAGTTCATGGGGTCAGGATCTCAAAGAGACACAACTGAGTCGGAAACTGAGCAAATGAATTGACTGACTAAGAGACAGGAGGAAACAAACTACAAGTGTCAGATTTTTGGTTTCCCTGATAGCTCAGTTCGAGAAGAATCCCCCTGAAATGCTGGAGACCCTGGTTCGATTCCTGGGTCAGGAAGATCTCATAGAGAAGGGATAAGCTACCTGTCCCAGTATTCTTGGGCTTCCCCTATGGCTCAGCTGGTAAAGAATCTGCCCACAATGCGGGAGACCTGGGTTTGTAAGATTCCCCTGGAGAAGGGAAAGGCTACCCACTCCAGTATTCTGGCCTAAAGAATTCCATGGACTGTATAGTCCAGTTCAGTCAGTTAGTTCAGTTGCTCAGTTGTGTCTGGCTCTTTGTGACCCCATGGACTGCAGCACTCCAGGCCTCCCTGTCCATCACCAACTCCCAGAGCCTACTCAAACTCATGTCCATTGTTCAGTGATGCCATCCAACCATCTCATCCTCTGTCGTCCCCTTCTCCTCCTGCCTTCAATCTTTCCCAGCATCAGGGTCTTTTCAAATGAGTCAGATCGCATCAGGTGGCCAAAGTATTGGAGTTTCAGCATCCGTCCTTCTAATGAATATTCAAGACTGATTTCCTTTAGGATGGACTGGTTCGATCTCCTTGCAGTCCAAGAGACTCTCAAGAGTCTTCTACAACACCACAGTTCAGAAGCATCAATTCTTCGGTGCTCAGCTTTCTTTATAGTCCAACTCTCATATCCATACATGAGTACTGGTATAAATATAGTTTTGACTAGACGGACCTTTGTCGGCAAAGTAATCTCTGCTTCTAAATAGGCTGTCTAGTTTGGTCATAACTTTTCTTCCAAGGAGCAAGCGTCTTTTAATTTCATGTTCTAGTATAGTCCATGGGGTCACAAAAATTCAGACAGGACTGAGCGATTTTAAATGTAAATGTCAATTGAGACCCTGTAATCTCAAGACAAACTCTGCTCCTCTCTTAACTACCTAGAAGAATTCAGAATGGGTGTCTTTCCAGGCTTCCCTCGTGGTTCAGATGGCAAAGAATCTGCCTTCAGTGCAGGAGACCTGGGTTCCATCCCTGGGTCAGGAATGTCTCCCGGAAAAGGAAATGGCTACCCACTCCAGTATTCTTGCTCAAAGAACTCTATGGGATGGAAAATCCCATAGACAGAGAAACCTTGTGGGATGCAGTTCATGGGGTTGCAAAGAGTTGGACATGACTGAGCAACTGATACTTTTACTTTCCCAGAATTATTACCAGAGAAAAATTTTGAGTGACCCAGTTGCATGGTAGGGGAAACTAATTAACCAGTATTTGCTTTTTCTCTTATTGTTCTGTGAATTTCCCTGTTGTACGTGGAAGCTGTTATTGAAATCCTTAGCTCAGAATGGCATAAAAACTTCATTTTACATTCTTTTTTTGAACGGCCCACGTGTGTGGGTTTTCCATATGTATGAAATTCAATTTGATATTCCTTCTGTTAATCTATCTCATCATGTCAATTTGCTTATTAGACCTGTAAAAGAATGTTGGAAGGGTAGAAGAAAATTCTTTCTCCCCAATAATACACAAAAAAATCTAATATGGGAAGATACTGCCCCATGCTTACATAGTAGTCCAGTCTGCAGAGAGGGAAATTAATGGGAAGACCAATTTCAAGAATAAAGCTTAAATAATACTTTCATAAATCTTCTGCCACTGAAACTGAAGTGTACCTCTTATGAAGACTTTATACCATAATTTATGGGATTCTTCAGGATCTAATTGAAAGAAATATCTAAATTATTTTGGCAAGATTTTTGGAAAGTTGTGTTATCTCCATTTTTAAATACAAGTTTTATTTTCTTTCTGATTGTGTAGACAGTAAAGAACAGTAAGTGCTTCATCCAATGAAATTGGATAAATAGTCCATTACAGTCCATAGAATTCTCCAGACCAGAATACTGGAGTGGGTAGCTGTTCCCGTCTCCAGAGGATCTTCCCAACCCAGGGATCAGACTCTTCCTAACACAGGGATGGAAGTCAGGTCTCCCACATAGTAGGTGGATTCTTTATCGGCTGTGCCACAAGGGAAGCCAAATTTTAAAGCTCAGTTAATATGTGTAATTATAAGTAATGACATATCACGCTTGAATATTTTATTTAAAGCACAATTTATATTCATTTATCAAGTATTTCATTATAGGTTCATTGATTACCATTAATAATAAAGGCATTATTTTAACACTGTGATGGTCCTTGCTGTGGGGAACAGAAATGATGCAATGAAGGAAATGTTACTTCTTGCATGATCAACATCAATAACAATAACCACAGCATAATTTATTTTTAAAACTTGAAGATCTCATAGGCCTTCCTTGGAGCTGTATCATTTATTCTTGAGAGTTCTAGTTCTGAGATATAGATGTTTAAAATTTACAGACTCAAATAATGCACACGGCTTTTTAAGAGGAAAAAACTGAATAATTAGATTCACTGAAATCAGGATTCGATTCTTCCAACATCAAATAAATTTAAAAGAAAAAGGAAAACCTCCCGATTGTGATTGTTGTGGTCACTGTTATTACAAAGAATATTATTTACATGTGATTGCAATGATATTTAAATATAGGAAATAAAAATATTTCAGGAGACAGAAAACTTATTCCAGTGGAATTGAAGGCCCTCTTAGTGGGCTTCCCTGGTGGTTCAGATGGTGAAGCATCTGCCCGCAATGCAGGAAACCCCGGTTCGATCCCTGGGTCGGGAAGATCTCCTGGAGAAGGAATTGGTAATCCACTCCAGTATTCTTGCCTGGAAAATCCCAAGGACAGAAGACCCTGGTAGGCTACAGTTAATGGGGTCGCAAAGAGTTGGACACGACTGAGCGACTTCACTCACTTTAGTTAGTATGACTTGATCTGAGAGCAGGGTGAGTGATGATAGTGAGCAAAAATCCTTGACAGCATTAGGACTCTAAGAACCTGGTT